TGATCATTTTGACCCTCTACTATTTAATTATGTATTATATTTAGTAAAATTTAATAAAATTTAAATGTCTTAATTTAAAAATAAAATAATTTTATTTAATTTTTATTTTTGTTTTATTTATTTAATTTTTTAAAATAATTTTTTATAGATATTTTATTGATGTTTTATTTTAAAATTTTGTTTATATTTTATTTAATTTCATTATTTAAATTTTAATAGATGTTGTATTTTATTTCATTATTTAAAATAAATTTATTTAAAATTTTAATTAAAAAATAACATATATTTTTATTGATATTTAATTTATTTAATTTTTTAAAAAGAAATTTATTTAATTGTGCAAAAAATAAAATAAAATAAATTTTTATTTAATCTAGCTAAAAATAATTAAAATATTAAAGCTGTGTTTAATATTGCTATTACTAAGTAGATAATTGAAAATGATAAAATAGTTATTTGAGCATTTATCCTCTCTATAATATCCCAAACAAACATTGGATTCACTAAAAATAATCCAATCCAAACATCTAATCCCATGACTAAACAAACATAGGATACAAATCCAGTTCAACCAAATAGTAGAGGGACAATGTATCCCAAGACTAATACTCCGATTGATTACAATCTCTCCTGATCTAGTCCGTCTAAACAAACAAACCCTAAGAGGCTAGATCGGCCCAGCACATATAGTGGGCCTACCCAAATTTATAGATAATATTTATTTATTTTTTAAATGAAAAATTCAAAATAATTTTAAAAAATACATATTATTTTTATATAATTTGATCTTTCGGAAGAACAAAAATAAATTTAAAAAAATTCAAAAGTATGTTTTTGATGTTTGTTTTGATCAAACTAATTTCTATTTTTCTTTTAATTCTGAAAAAAAAATTTAGAACATCAAACCAACGTGCCTTCATAATATTTAGAAGTTTTCCCAATCAATTTGTTCGATAGGACTAATGCCCCTATTAGCATAAACTGTTTGAATTTATTTGCACAATGAGAAAAATAATTGCACAAAATTAAGGGCTGGTTTGACGGCCTTGAAAAAGTAAAAAAGTCAAAAAAATTACTTAAAAAATTAAAAAGTTATATCATTATTTATCAAAAAAAAATATTAAAGAAATAATAATATTAATACAAATCAAAAAAAATCCCCCAAGATTGGTACTAATGTGATGGTGGAGTCAGTGACGGAGAAAAAAAATTATAGTAA